TTTTTTTTTTTTTTTTTTTTTAATAAAAAGACTTGCCAGAGATTTGCAAATGGAATTGACTTTTTAATTTTGTTATTCAGAGTTATTTAATGATGTTTACTTGAATAACCTAAACTCATCAATTATTCCTCCTTAAATAATATGTTTCACTAGGGTCATGTGCTCATCACTTCTGTAAACACTATATTGCATTAGTATGTTCAGATTTTTGGCAGGCTCTTCCTACCAAGTACTGCTGATGGTCTGCAAAAGCATTTGTGGGCTTTAGAAGTATGTTGTGAAGGTGACAAGTGCTGTTATTTTTTAAGGATTTTACAATCTCATTCCTTGTGTAAAATCACTATATGATTTCTGGCACTGCTTTCTCAATATTGTTCAGAGATAAGGATGAATTCTGGCCAAATCCTTGCCAACTGTGAAGACAGAAAGACGCTGTAATAATTGTAGCTAGCAACTCCTCATTGCTTCTTAAGACTATTCTAGAAGTATGAATGGGTTTCTGTGTACTCTTCAGTGGTGTTAAGATTGATTTAGATCATTCAGGATAAAACAGTCTTATCCAACAGTCTTGACTGAGAGAGTTCAAGCCTCTGGTTTCTCTAAGTATCCTTTCTTAGCTATTTGCATTAGATATTGGCTCACAGTCTTGGTAATGTGTGTGGTAGCCTTCTGACTATTCATCTATTCCTTGTATGAGCAAGAGAAAGCGAGAGAGAAAGAGACACACAGAGATAGGTATAACATTTTTGGTGGTCTAGCTATGCCATGATCCTTCTGTCCCAGCCTCCCTGTTGCTAGGATCGTCGGCATGCACACCTGTGCCCAGTGTGCTCGGGTTGGCCCAGGAACTGAACCTTGGCCTTGCATGTGGTTTCCAGCTGCCTCATATGTAGCACAGAGATTTGCCTGTTCATTTTTGGTAGTATAGGTGGGGCTCCCTACTTGATGTTTAGTAGGAGGGATAAGACTGTCTTCACATTGTTGTAAACATATCACTTTCATTTTAACATTCAACTTAATATAGTCAGGATAATATACTTTAGAAACTTAAATATGTAAGCATTTATGGATTTTAACAATGGATTTTTATTATAATGAGTTACTAGTTTATATCCTAAGGTGATGGCTTTTCTCAATTGCAGCATTCTGGAGACGTTATACTGTACAGGGTGTTCACTCAGTCTGGGCTATGTATACAGGTGCACACCCAAGAATCTGGACTATAAGAGGGACTTGTTTTGCCTCAGTGTTGAAGCTGTTGAAAGGTAAGTTTGATATGTAAATGATTGCCTCATAACTGATTTCTCAGAAAGTTCAGTTTGCGGAGAGAATGGTATGAAAACATCAGAACTGTCTATACTGGTTAAAACTAAATGTTTTCAAGTAATAATTTCTGACAATAAAGCCAGCAATTTTTTTGTATTGACCTAATTTATTGATATCAGAAGAGACTCTTAAATCATGAAAGAAAACACTGAAAAATTTCTTTACAGTAAGAACTATACTTAGTTGTTTTAAATTGAATGTATTATAGTTTAACAGTATTGTTTTCCAAAGCATTTGTGTGATCAGTGTGTATTGTTGGGTGGCTTTGTGGTGCAGCGGTAACGCACTGCTCAGGAGAAGCCTGGTCCCATTTGGTGATTGTTGTTTGAATCCCTGGCCTAGTCAGCTCGAACCATGCTGGGTGTACACACATTCCCAGATTTGATGGGCTGGAGGACTGGAGGAAGAGGATCATAGCATGACCAGACCCTGTGGAGGCTCAGCTCCCTCCTCCTCTTTTTCTCTCTCATGGACACACATGTTCTAGCATGAATAAAAAGAGGGGGGGGAATATATGATCTAGTTTTTTTTAACCACTAGATTTTAGCGTCCTAGAATATTAAGACATAGGAATTTTAAAGCTGGTTAGGAAAGAAGTTCCTTAAGTATTCTGGAAAAGTGGAAATTGCAATGTCCAACTATAATTTCTTATTTAATTGTCCTTGATAACCTGCAGTTTTGCTTCTTTTTTGAAACCAGACAGGTTTAAATAAAAATTATATAATCTGCAAATTTTTTATGGGCCTTACACAAAAGAATTCCTTGTTATAAAACATGTAGGTTTATTTGTAGAGATACTGTTTGTTTGTTTGGGTTTTGTTTTTTAGAGAGAGTTTTTGCTATAGGGCACGTGTGCTCACTTGAGAGACAGACAGAGACAGAAAGCAAGAAATCATCACCCAGAGGGGATAGCCACGCTGCGATCCCTTCTCCAGTCTTCTCTTGTAGTTTTGGGCATGTACTTATGCGTTTCTAGCGTGAATTTTAAGCCTCTGGGTCCGGGATTCAAACCACGGTCATCTACATGGGAGTATAGCCCAGCGATGTAACCATTACATCATCCGCTGGTCCCACTTGTTTTGATTTTAATACACAAATAGATTCAGGCTCTAACTAATGCTTTCTTAATCTCCTTGAGAATTTTACTGAGATTTGTGAAAAGTTAAGAGTGCACAATCATAACAATAAAATCATTTTTTTCTTTTAAGTTTATTTATTTCATGAGTGAGAAAAAGAGACAGAAACAGGGACTCCCCCCGCACCCCCATCCCCCCCATCCCCCAACAGGGTCTCATTATGCCTTGATCCTCCTCTGAACCTTTCAGGCAGCCAAGATGATGGGTACTCCTACAGGTGTGCCTAGCATGTTCAGGTGGATCAAAACATGGAGCATAATTGTGGAAGTTGCCCAAATGTGGGTAATCAAGAGTAGACTCCAGTATCAACTCTGTAGTACAGAAATAATGTGCTGCTCAAGAGAAGCCAGTTCCTGTATGGTGACTGGTTTGGATCCCCAGCCCAGTTAGCCTGATGCATACCAGGAGTGCCTGTAAGTACCCAATTCCAGTGGCTGGAGTATTGGAAGAAGTGGGTCATGGCATGACTAGACCCTGTGAGGGTGTTCATCTCTCACTTTCATTCTTACATGCATTCATGTGGGCTCTTTCATGAAAACTTGACTCTACAAATCATTTTTTATTAGAAGTCAGCTTAAAAGAATTTTTTTTTTTTTTAATTTTTGAAAAGTTAAATAAAGAAGGACATGGTGGCATCTTAGGGTGAGTAGCTTCTTCAAAATCTTTAAAACTTGCCCTTGGAATTTTGAACTATAGGGACTAGCAAATAGTGTAATGGTTACGTCGCTGGACTCCCATGTAGTTGCCTGCGGTTTGAGTCTTGGACCCAGCAGCTTAAACTCATGCTGGGTGCATGTGCATGTGTACCTAAAATTCTGAGAGGCGAATGGAGGAAAAGGGATTGAGGCATGGCCATCTCCCCCTGGAGAGGAGTGATTTTTTTGCTTTCTGTCTCTCCAGTGGGCACACGTGCCCTGTAGCAAAAATCTGTCTGTGATACCACTTAATAGTGTCATATGCTTAGAGTTTAATCATATGAACTAGCATAAATTTAGTATTTGTTTCTTTTTCATATATTAACTTTGTACTCTGTTGTACTTTAGTTATATTTTAGGGTCCTCTGAAAATCATATTGTGCCAGAAGATAAAGAGCTTTTTAATCTTGAAAGCAGAGTTGAAATAGAAAAGTCTTTAAAACAGGTATTTTATCCCATTATGTTTTATATCTTTTTAAGAATAGTTTTCTCTCAGCGAATAAGTACTTTTCCACAAGTAATAATACTCACAATGTTATCTGTGTTTATCTTAGCATTTTCTTGATAAAAAACTGCTTATTTTATTTCAGTTATTAATAAAGTTGGCTTTTTGGGAACCACATTACAAATTAAGCTAAAGTTTACAAAATAGGAAGGCTTTTAATGCCCAAATCAGCTATATGCAGTTGTCCCTCTATTGCTGGGTTCTGCATCTGGATTCAACTAACTGTGGATCAAAAAATAAATTTTTAAAAATGTTTTTTGTGTCTGTAGTGAACAGGTGTAGAATTTTTTCTTGTCATTATTCCATAAACAATATAAAATGACAGCTATTTACTTAGCATTTACATCTTATTAGGTATTACAAAAATTAAAATATTTTATTGATATCAATTGATACTGTGCACTCACATGTGAAAGTAATTTTGTACCCTCCATTACTTGTTTTGATTTTAATACACAAATAGATTCAGGCTCTAACTAATGCTTTCTTAATCTCCTTGAGAATTTTACTGAGATTTGTGAAAAGTTAAGAGTGCACAATCATAACAATAAAATCATTTTTTTCTTTTAAGTTTATTTATTTCATGAGTGAGAAAAAGAGACAGAAACAGGGACTCCCCCCGCATCCCCATCCCCCCCATCCCCCAACAGGGTCTCATTATGCCTTGATCCTCCTCTGAACCTTTCAGGCAGCCAAGATGATGGGTACTCCTACAGGTGTGCCTAGCATGTTCAGGTGGATCAAAACATGGAGCATAATTGTGGAAGTTGCCCAAATGTGGGTAATCAAGAGTAGACTCCAGTATCAACTCTGTAGTACAGACATAATGTGCTGCTCAAGAGAAGCCAGTTCCTGTATGGTGACTGGTTTGGATCCCCAGCCCAGTTAGCCTGATGCATACCAGGAGTGCCTGTAAGTACCCAATTCCAGTGGCTGGGGAATTGGAAGAATGGGTCATGGCATGACTAGACCCTGTGAGGGTGTTCATCTCTCACTTTCATTCTTACATGCATTCATGTGGGCTCTTTCATGAAAACTTGACTCTACAAATCATTTTTTATTAGAAGTCAGCTTAAAAGAATTTTTTTTTTTTTTTTAATTTTTGAAAAGTTAAATAAAGAAGGACATGGTGGCATCTTAGGGTGAGTAGCTTCTTCAAAATCTTTAAAACTTGCCCTTGGAATTTTGAACTATAGGGACTAGCAAATAGTGTAATGGTTACGTCGCTGGACTCCCATGTAGTTGCCTGCGGTTTGAGTCTTGGACCCAGCAGCTTAAACTCATGCTGGGTGCATGTGCATGTGTACCTAAAATTCTGAGAGGCGAATGGAGGAAAAGGGATTGAGGCATGGCCATCTCCCCCTGGAGAGGAGTGATTTTTTTGCTTTCTGTCTCTCCAGTGGGCACACGTGCCCTGTAGCAAAAATCTGTCTGTGATACCACTTAATAGTGTCATATGCTTAGAGTTTAATCATATGAACTAGCATAAATTTAGTATTTGTTTCTTTTTCATATATTAACTTTGTACTCTGTTGTACTTTAGTTATATTTTAGGGTCCTCTGAAAATCATATTGTGCCAGAAGATAAAGAGCTTTTTAATCTTGAAAGCAGAGTTGAAATAGAAAAGTCTTTAAAACAGGTATTTTATCCCATTATGTTTTATATCTTTTTAAGAATAGTTTTCTCTCAGCGAATAAGTACTTTTCCACAAGTAATAATACTCACAATGTTATCTGTGTTTATCTTAGCATTTTCTTGATAAAAAACTGCTTATTTTATTTCAGTTATTAATAAAGTTGGCTTTTTGGGAACCACATTACAAATTAAGCTAAAGTTTACAAAATAGGAAGGCTTTTAATGCCCAAATCAGCTATATGCAGTTGTCCCTCTATTGCTGGGTTCTGCATCTGGATTCAACTAACTGTGGATCAAAAAATAAATTTTTAAAAATGTTTTTTGTGTCTGTAGTGAACAGGTGTAGAATTTTTTCTTGTCATTATTCCATAAACAATATAAAATGACAGCTATTTACTTAGCATTTACATCTTATTAGGTATTACAAATAGTCTAGAGATGATTTAAAGTATTTAAGAGGATGCACATAGGTTTTGTGCAAATCCTATGCCATTTTACATAAGGGCCTAGCCCATCCTGGATTTTGGTATCTTTGGGGTCCTGGAACTGATCCCAGAAGAAACCAAGGGATGACTGACTATTCTAAAATTATTAAACTAAAAATATATTTTTGAATCAAATCAATTCTCCATTTGATTCAGTTCTTATGGTAAACACAGCCATATTTTTGAATTTTAGCTTCTTTCAAAGGCCAGATAGTGAAGACAGTGATGAGTATATAAAAGAGCTAATTATATGTTGAGAGCTGCTGTTAATAGTATGATGTCTTACTTAAATAAAATTTAGTGTATGCTCCTAAACAATTTCATTAAACAAAACAGTGTAGAAAGAATAACACATTCAAATTATATAAAGCACAATATATTCAAATAGAAGTAACTATCTTTTAATAACGGTTAATCATGTATAGTTTTAATCATATTCATATATGTATTTCTTTATCTTCTTTTTAAATTCAATAGATGGAAGATGTCTTGAAAGTATTAGAAACGAAGCTATGGGAGATGGAATCAAAATTGTCCTTTACTGGTTGTAAGAGCTGAACTCTGTTCCCTGATTTCCATTCTGCCCTTCTTTATTTGCTAAATAAAAAAGAATTATGGAGTTACTTTTCAGACTATGTTTTATGGTAAAGAGGTGATTTTTTTTTTTTTTGAGAGATTTTTGCTATAGAGTGCGTGAGCTCGCCAGAAAGATAGAGACAGAGAGACAGAAAGTGAGAACCACCCTCCCGGGAGAGGGTGGCCATGCTTCGATCCTTTCTCCTCTGTTCTCCTCTCAGGATTTTGGGCATGCACACACACGCGCCCGGCATGAATTTTAAGCCACCGGGTCCGGGACTCGACCACGGTCAACTACATGGGAGTCCAGTGACATAGCCATTACGCTAACTGCTGGTCCCTAGCACAGATAAGAGATTTTAGCTGTAAGATTCATGTGACTTCTGGCTGCACAGGTTAGAGTACTCTAAAAATCATTTTTAGGTATTATTACAAAGATGTAGGTAATTGGGCTCCCTTATTCCTTACAGTCCATCCATACCAGGGCAGGAGAGGTGATACAGTATTTGTGGCCAATCCACACATCAGGAAAACTCATTTCAGTAATGAAACTTAATTGTACTTATCTTTGGTGCTAATAAACCTCTATTGTGGATCAAGCAATATATTAGCTCAGGTGCCCTAGTGGGTATACCTAACTGGGTCTTTGGTTAGCTTTCCATCCCTTATGTGCATTTTGTGTCTGGGTCCTTCAGATGAAGTTAGCTAACCACCTATAAGGCACAGATGGAAACCAGCTCACACATTTGGGTCGTGTGGTCTCTTTGAATCATCCAGGAAACACAAGAAACAGTCCTCATTTTTGGCCTTTGCCTGTGATGTCACTGAAGGAGTTGCCTTACCATTGCCTTGGGGGGGAAATCCTTGAGACTCCCAGATTTCCCACCCCGAGGGGTCTGGTGGGACTGTTTCATCCTCTGTGTGCTGCATGGAGACACAGCAAAAGAGGACTCTTCCACCCTCTTCAGGTCATCTCTTGGGGCCACCTGTTTACCTGAAGAAGACTTGGCTCTCTTGGCTTTGCATGAGGTCTCATTACCATGTGGTTTTTAAAAAACGTTTCCTGTTTATCTACATAGTAAAACCTTGAGTTATTTCTGTTCCTTGTAATTGAAAACCCAAAATGTAATGTGCAGTCATTTCTGCCTAGTAAGACCAGGTAAAGCTCTGCCTATGAGCAGGATTGAGGGTCTGGAAGCAGGAAAGGGACATCCCAGCCCCAAACATGTGGGACCCTGCAGAGGCAGTAGACCGGATCATCCCAGAATCTGTCCGTTGGCTATTTTGTCGAGTACTTTGGTATTTAGAGAGAAGCTGTGGAAACTGATATCAGAACCTGTTTTGTGGCCTTGAAAGATTATTGTAAATAAGCATGTCTGCAGCGTTGCACATGAGTTTCATCTCAGAGTGTGGATTTGGGTTCTGTGTTATCAGCAAATTCTGTTGCATGTGTAGAGCATTGTACTTGGGTTTCATCCCAGAGAACAGGTTTGGGTTTTGTGTTCTGAGGAAATTCTGTCATTGCCACACATCTGCAAGGTAAAGTGTCTGCTGTGGTGCAGGGTAATGCACTGCTCAGGTGAAGATGGAACCATACAGTAGCTTTAGGTTCAGTTCCTGGGTCAACCTCTACACACTAGGCATGTGCACCCACGATCCTGGCTAGCTGAGAGGACTTCCACAGTAAGACCCTGTTGGGGGGCACTTGCCTTTTTGTCTTTCTTGTTCTCTCTATAATGAAAGAAATAAAGAAATTATTCTGTGTAGTGTCAATGCCTGGAGAGTGCCCTGCTTGGATGATTCTGTTTTAAGTGCAGGGCGTTTAATATGAGCAAGATTAAGATGGTACCTTCTTGCAGAATCGCAGATCTAGTTATTCAGTAGCAACTTCTGGAACCAAGGAGCCACGTGTGAAGCTTTTCTCAGCTTGTATTTGAGGGAAGGTCTTAGGGAAACAGAAATTGGGAGCGAAAGCCCCAGCTTAACTGCTTTCTTAGCCATGCAACCTGGGGTGAATCATTTAACCATTTTGAGCCTCTGTTTCCCCATCTGTGAAATGCTATTATAATCTGCCTACATTGCATCAAGGATAACCAAATTAGATAATGTGTATAGTAATATTTTTCTTTTAAAAATAGTTAATACTGGGACCAGCAGTTAGTGTAATGGCTATGTCGCTGGACTCCCATGTGGCTTACCATGGTTCATGTCCCAGACCCAGTGGCTTAAAACTCACGCCGGGCGCATGTGTGTGCATGCCCAAGATCCCAAGAGGAGAATGGAGGAGAAGGAATTGTGGCGTGGGCATTGCCCTGGTGTATGATTTCTGTCTTTCTATCTCTTTGTCTCTGTCTAGTGAGCACACATGCCCTATAGAAAAAACCTCTCCCCCCCCAAAAAAAAGTTAATACTTACTGGATTTATTTATTTTTCTAGTTACAAATATGTGAACACTGAGGAAATTTGAAAACTAGCACAAAGGTGAAAATAAAACCCACACAAATTAAAGCTAAAATAATTACTATTCACATTTTGGAGCATTTCCTTCTAGTATTTTTTTTTTTTTCTTTTAAAAAAGTTTTTCTGGAGGGTGCCCATACTCTTCAGATAGAAGAAAGTGAGAAAGCACCCACCATCAGAGATGGGCATTTCACAATCCCATCTCCATTTTTCCTTTTGGGAGTTTGGACATGCATGCAGTGTTTTCAAGCCATCAGGTCTGGTTCTCAAACTGCCTGATCAGCCATATGAGATCCAGTGGTCTTAACTACCATTCCATAGTCTGGTTCTTTTTTCTTTCTTTTTAAAAATTATCATTTAATTTTATATATTTATTATTACTATTGTAATTTGCTATGGGGCACATGTGCTCATCAGAGAGAGAAAAAGAGAAAGACAGCAAGCCACCAGCTCCAGGACTTGAACCAGTCAACCATGTGGGAGTCTAATGCGTTAACCACCATGCCACTGGCTGGCCCCATTTCAAATTTTCTTTGAAATTTGTCAGGTTGTGCATGCTTGCCAGAGAAAGGCAGGAGGGGAGAAAGTATCGCCTCCCTTATGGGGCATGGTCACAACTCAATCCTGTCTCACCATCCTGTTGGACTTGGTCACGCACACATATGTGTCTGATGCACTTCTTAAGTTGCTGGGTCCAAGATTTGAAGCACATGGTCAGTCATATGGGATTCTGCTCCCTTAACCACTAGACCATGGGGCCAATACACTAGTTATTCTATAAGGAAATTTGGGGTCATACTGGACATATTCGTTTAAAATGTCTGTTAAATATATTTTGGTATCGTTAAACATTGTTTCACAGCCTGGGTGTTTACACCTGCCCAAGATGAGACACCGTATTTGAGAACTTTCTCAACCCAGGACCGTGGCTTCCACAATACAGAGCATTGTGTTACTGCTGAGCCACCAAGGCTGGCGTAAATATTTGTTTAAACATCATAATGTGGTATGAAAGTCATACTTTTTAGTGGTTTATTTAACAATGACTTTAGTCATCAAATAAAAGATGGGCATGAAAGAAATCTTACATCAATTACCTCTTTGTCTAGCTCCTGTGCTGTATAGGAGCCAACTTTTGAGACCCAGTTAAGTTCTCAGGAATTTTGTGAGCTGCTTGTTAAATTCCTAGTCACTTGAAATTGTCTATGATAGGGATATGTATCCAGAAAAATCCAATGCTAAAAAATCAACCCCTTCCCACCAGAACTGGTTTCCTAGTACATTACTGTATATTTTTAATCTCCCACCATGTTGTTTGACTTAAAGTATAAAAGAAAAAATGACTTTTTTTCTAAACACTGAAAAGTCCAAGGTCTGACATCTTTTCATTTAATAAGTCTAAGATGAAATGCTGTATCTTTTTATTATTTATTTATTTATTTATTTATTTATTTGCCCTAGAGCATGTGTGCTTACTGGAGAGAGACAGTGCCAGAGAAAGGGAAAGTGAGGGAACCAGCAGTTAGCGTAATGGCTATGTTGCTGGACTCCCACGTAGTCGACTGCGGTTCGTGTCCCGGACCTGGTGGCTTAAAACTCACGCCGGGCGCGTGTGCGTGCGTGCCCAAGATCCCGAGAGGAGAATGGAGGAGAAGGGATTGTGGCGTGACCATCCCCCCTGGGGGGTGATTTCTCGCTTTCTGTCTCTATGTCTCTCTCTGTCTGGCTAGCGCACGTGCCCTACAGTGAAAATCTCTCAAAAAAAAAAAAAAAAAAAGAAAGGGAAAGTGAGACACACCCCACCCCCCCAGGGAGGATGGCCACACCCTGATCCTTTCTTTTCTAGTCTTCTCTCAGGATTTTGGGCATGCACACATATGTGCCCAGCATGATTTTCAAGCCATCAGGTCCAGGACTCTAACTGCAGTCAGCCCTGTGGGAATTCAGTGCCTTCACCACACCACTTGCTGGCCCCGAAAAGCTGTGTTTTGAAGATTTTAGGGATTACAGTCACCATTACAGTCATTATCTCTTCTGGAGAAAAAGCAAAATATGTAAAAGTAAGTGATTTAAATTTTTACATAAGTTGTCAGTGTTATATGCATCACTTTTGTTTTCCTGAATATGATAAATAATTGGATAGCTGCTTGTGAACAAGCAGAAAATGTTTGCAATGGCTTTTTGTTTTAATTTTTTTTTTTGCCCCTGAGGGTTTGGACCCTAAGGTGTCTTTTTTTTTGTTAATCATCAATGCTTTTTTTTTTTTTTTTGATTTTTCCGCTATAGGGCGTGTGCGCTCACCAGACAGACAGACAGACAGAGACATAGAGACAGAAAGCGAGAAATCACTCTCCAGGGGAAATGGTCACGCCACAATCCCTTCTCCTCCATTCTCCTCTCGGGATCTTGGGCACACACGCACGCACGCCCGGCATGAGTTCTAAGCCACCGGGTCCGGGATGGGAACCGCGGTTGACTATGTGGGAGTCCAGCGACATAGCCATTACACTAACTGCTGGTTCCCAAGGCAGATGAGTTTTGATGCCCAAGGCAACAGAAGTCTATCTTGCTCTGTCTC